TATCGCATAATCGTTCATATTTGGAATTAGCATCTCCAAATAAGTTTCCATGTAATACCACAAGTAAGTAAGTAAGTAGAGGTACAGTGACAGATAAATAATAAGAAAAAATTATATTTTTCAATTATGCATTTTAATTAGGTGGCAGAGGTATGATTAAGACAAGAAAGAAGACCGGCCCACAGAAGGTTACTATAGCGAGAATGCAAAGAAATAAAAGAAAATATGTCACAGTCGTTAGAGGTTTGAGTACATTTGGTGAGTTTTTTTCATGACAAATTCACATGATACATGATTCACATGTGCAGTACATGAACATATACTTTGGTCGGCTGTCCCTGTGTTTTTTATTGTTTACTCTAAGTATGTCTATGTATTTTACAGTCTGAGTTTATCACTTTGAACAACACAGTAAACTTTTGTCATCTTCTTCAGAATAAACCGTGTCAGAATGATTTGTATGAATGTAAACAATTATGTTCAAATAGACAATTAATTAATTAATGGATACAAACATGAACTAATAAAAACTGACATATTCAGACAAAAATATCATGCGACATTGAAACCCTAAAATATATATATATATAGAGATTGATGCTTTACTGAAACATGACATGTTTATATATTTTTTTTCACCAGATATTGATTTAAAAGTGGCATCCAAACATTTTGCCAATCGTTTTGCAACTGGTTCCTCAGTTACCGGGGACGATGAGATTGTTATTCAAGGTGATGTCACTTATGACATCATTGATGTGGTACAAGATAAATGGGCTGAGGTAGGAATTGTATCAATATTACTATCATATTTGTTCTCATTAGAAGCACATCTCCAATAGAAGTTCAGATTACCTATCAAATGTTATACTAGATCATTCAAATATTACAGTCGTTTCCACCAAACCTCGAACGTTGACTTTGTATAAAATGTTAACACACTACTAAAGTTGTTTTGTAACATTGCGAGTAAATGTTTACAAGTTGCTCCAGATATTATCAAAGTTGCGGTAAAATCAAAGACTTGTTTATATTATAAACCAGACGTGAGTGAATGACATGCTGTCAACAAATATAACAATAACCAATCAACGCAAAGATCGCAATTTTACCCCGGGATACTCTAAAACTGAATGCTGAGTTGTTTATATTGGAAATAAGACGTGAATGACGTCCTGTTAAAAATATAACAATAACCAATCAACGCAAAGATCGCGATTTTACCCCAGATATATCTACTCTCAAATTCAAATTTGCTGAGGAATAACAACTTGACCATGTTTCGAAGTCGACCCGGTATGGCAACGCCTCATGCAGTACGTGAAAAAATAGTGGACATGTTTTTGAGTAGACGTTTTTACGGGGATATCTCAAGAATTGTTGGTGTTTCTAAATCCACAGCCTACTTCATATGTCAGAAATTTACATCCACTGCAAATTTTGATCGAGAAACTGGTGTCCAACCGAATGTTCGAAACTCTCTCATAATGTATTACAGCACATCGAGTACTACAAAAAATCTCAGCCTAGTATTTATTTGAAAGAGATTCAAAACAAACTGGTGGCCATTCGAGTCTGCGCAGGGGAGAATGTTCCCAGCATTACGACTATACATCGTGGTATAATGCAGCATTTAGGTATGACACGAAAAAAATTACCAGTG